GAGCACTTAGACCCTTCATCAAAGGATCTGCATTTGACAGATAACTGTAATTCCCTCACTCTAGACTGTGTTTACTGACCTCACATGAAAGTAGCTTTGCCCTGTGCATTGTGGGAGATTTGCATCCCCTCTACTTTAGAGTACTTAGGAATGCAGAAATGCAGTGTCATGTGTTTCTTTATACAAAAACTAGACATGTCAGTGCAGGCAGCAGCGTGTGTCTGTGAGAGAAAAGCTGAGTGCTTCTCACAAAAATTAGGCTTCATTCTGTGTGTGCATGTTAAACTAAATGATGTTCAGGAAGCATCTAGTCTGTGTGAAGTGACGCTGGAGGAAAGCTCATAGTAATAAGTCATAATGAAAAAGTTTGTAATAACAGCAACAGAATCATTAGGTTTCATCTTCTGGGGGCCCTGAACATACAGTATACAGCGGTTGTAATGTAAATCTGTCATGACTGTGCTCACTACATTTTATTGCACCTTTGTGGCAGATTATGTGATACTGTGCCATGCTGACATTACATCCATGTCCTGGGGAGATGCCTGTTATTCCCAGAAAAAAACATTTTCTAAAGTTTAACAACCCAGTTGTTGTATACTTCCTTCTACATAATACTGTGGACTAATGCTGGCAGTAGAATAAAGGTCACGGTCATCATTAGGCTTCATCCACCAAAGACCATGAACACTGAGAACAGCTGGAATCATTAAAAAAATCATAAACTACACCAGGGAAATACTGACTCCATTAGGGTGCCACAGGAAAGGTCAGAGGTTAACCAAAATCTACCGTAAACAGCCCCTGGAGAGTGAAAATCTTTGCCAATTTTCATGGAAATGTGGCTGGCAGAAGTTGAAATATTTGTTCTGTGAAAGGAAACCTTTTTAAGATCTTCCATGTTCTTTTTAATGGGCCACAGTTTCAAAGCAGAGCACGGAGCAGAGGTCCTCATCAAGGGGGCACTTCAGATTCCCTCAATGGTGATCAGCCCATCACAGCCTTTAAGGAGTTTAAAGACATGTTTTTTCCCTTTTAAAAAGTCCACTTCTTTGGCAGAGACACTGGCTGCGGCTCAGAAAACAAAGACACAGGAGAAACACTGCCAAGAACCTCTGAGCTGGAGGCAACATCCAACATGCAGAAGAAAAGCAGCTACTGTAGGAATGGAAAAAGGAAATAATTCATCAGTGAGCCGAGGCAGAGATGTAACATCAAGTGAACCGACGCTCCAGTTTAACCCTTCAAATAAGAATTGCATTGAGCAGGAGACAGGATTTATTTGACCGTGTACTTTTTATGTATTTGAATGATCATCTGACAGAGACTGGCTTGTCAATAGAGAGGGAGTGTTTGTGAGCTCTGTGAAAGATAAGCTGGAACAGTTATGATCCTTGTGGGCAAAATAGGTTAATGCAGTACCAAACAACAAGGCTGGGATTTAAAAACGCAGCAGCATCTCAGTCGTGCTGATGTAGAAATCCTTCTCGCTTCAAAGCAGCCTCACATTGTCAGCTTTAAAAAGATCTGCAGTTGCTTGCAATTCTGGACAAATTTACATTCAGGACACCAACTTTGCTCCATA